TTTTTTTATCTTTCATATAAGTTAATAATCCTCACTGTGTTAACATTCCACATGCATGCAAACTGGTGCTCTTACTATAGTAAAGTGAGAAAGTGATATTACTATAACTAATGTGATATGATTAAATATGTGATTAATACATGAGAAAAGAAATCTGCCTCCACAATAGTCATAATGTCAAGAGAAATACTATTAATGACTAAAAGAAATCAAAAGAAGAGAAGGACATTTCTTTTTCCAGATTCAAGTACTGGTTTGCTTCATTTATTTTCCCTTTTTTAGAATTACTTTACCAAAAAAAAATAAGTCTGATTATTAAAAGAATTTAATGTAATGAGTTACTAACTGGCTTTGTAGAAACAGTGTTGCCTCTACACATTACAGACAACTGAGTTTAAAAAAAACCAACAACACAGTTTTAAATTGTTTCTTTAAACACTTTGTTGCTTGTGCAGTGTGTTGAGGAGAACTGAGGAAACAAATCACCGTCAGTATGGACAGAGGAGGTCAGGAGAGTGTCTACATCCATCTTTAAAAGACACTGGAGGCTTTGTCATCTTTTGGGGCTGCATTTCAGCCAGCAGTGTTAATGATCTTGTCAAAATCAATGGAATTGTAAACACAAAAAGTATGGCCATATTTGAATCCACTGTGTAATATCATCTGGAAAGTGTGTGATTAGCAAGAGTTACATTTTTCAGCACGACCGTGATCCCAAACACACTGCCAATGATTCATCCATGAAAAGAAAAACACACCTTTGACACTATCAGTCATGGCTCGGCCTCCCCAGACCTCAACATTACTGAAGCAATACAGGATTAACAGAGCAGAACAAAAGGCAGCCAATATCCACATACTGTATTTCCACGTGTATTTCACTCAGTCATTAATCTCTGCACCTAGTTCCCATTTCCAAGTAACATATAAAATATAAAAATATTAAGAAACGACGTGTGATTCAGGACTTTTGCACAGGACTTTGTCTTTGTGGTTTCTTGCTAACTGTAGCGTGTCTTATCACAACAATATTTACGAATTTATACATTGAAGATAATATTCAATCAGAATTGATCAGAATACATTAATTCCTAAGATCATTATGTGACGAACACCCCCTGACTTACTTTGTCAAAGTAAAAGACAAAGAAATAAGTAAGAAAAAAGTTGAAGAGAAAAAGCAGGAACAACTGGTTGACGCATGCGCACTTAAAGATATATAAGGTAGACTACAAATGCTTCCGAATGACTCAAAAACAATCTGTTAAATGTATTTTCTGTTGAATTTAAAGTGAGAACAGCTGCTTTGTTGAGATCTCACCGGTCGGATTTGCCTGCCTTCATAGTAATTTCCGGATAGCCATGCGTATTTCACTCAAAAGTCAACGTCACGACAACGGGCTCACTGATTGGTTGCAGGAAGCAAGGGGGCGTCATTTCTCATCTCCCATTGGTTGTAATGTTAAATCTCCTCTCTCTGATTGGCCGGGAGCATCGCTTTGCTATTGGCTGATCTCACGCACCGACAATTTGAAAATCGGTGTTTTGCGTTCAGAAGTGCAGGAGCAGCTGACACACAAAGGTTAGTACAAATGTATTTAAAAACAGCGGTAAGAGGTTGATTTAAACCCGCATCGCATATTCAGCTTTGTTGTTTGTCTAGGTTGAGTAGTACAAGCACGGCTGCTTTTGAATTCAGGCTTTCTTAAACCATAGTAGCGTTTCCTCTTTGTAAGATTCATGCACTCTGGCAGCAACAGTGTTGTTAGTTTTATTGTTAATTCATGTTAAGTATGTTTTTGTGCTCAGAGTCGCTGTGATGTTATCGGGAGAGGACGGCGCACAGCTTCAGTGCACTGTGACGGTGGAGCAGCTCAACAGCTCGGGACAGGCCACCCAGAGGAAGGCCATCCGCAAAGCCTCAGTAATTCTGGGCCGGAATGAGCACCAGGAGATCATCCTGCGAGTCCACGACGGCAAAGTGCCCCAAAGCTACCATCTGAAAGAGTTCAAACTTTTCACCAAGTTTGCCAGAGATGGGAAGTGCACCGTGAAACTGGTCCCTGAAAACATCCAGGTCCTCATGTCAAACTGTCCGACTGACCAGCTTAGCCTCTTTCTCAAAACCCTGAGCATCAAACACCAGGCATGGAAGGGCAGCAAGCCTCTGAGCAACCGAGAGAAGCTCAAGGCCGGCCTGCCCCGCAGCTTCGAGGCCATCAGCCCCCTGCAGCAAAAAGACATCCAGAAAGTCAATGAGCTGAGAAGTAAAGTGGCTCCTAACGGACTGACGGACCGCACTAATAGGATGACAGCTGCAGGTACAGGACAGCAGGTCAAACGCTCCAGGAGTGACTGTAACTTCAGCCCAGTGAGTTATACACACAGCACTCTCTCCCATTTACATTCAGGTTGCCTCACAGCAAACTGCAGGACTGTTTCCCACAGGAAGCACTGGTGTCCTGAACACATTCTCTCTGTTCACACTGGGTTACACTTAAACAAACATGACAGCAGATATTGTCATTATTCCAGGTAAAGGCCAACCCGAGTAAGAAGCCAATCCTCTCCTTACCATCACGCAAGCTTAACAAAGAGCAGGCTGCTGTTCTCAGTGCAGTGCTGAGTGGCAAGAATGTCTTTTTCACCGGAAGTGCAGGTAAAAAGTGCACAAAGATAAAGCTTCACAGTGATGACACTGAGAAACTACTTGTTTTGCCTGACTCTTCTGCTAAATTACAGGCTGCATCTTGCTTATAAAATCCCTCTTGTGACATTTTCATCAACACAGCTTGGTGTAAATATTGCTCGGTTGTGTATTCAGGTACAGGGAAGTCCTTCTTGCTCAAGAGAATCATGGGATCTCTTCCACCAAAGAGCACTTTTGCCACAGCCAGCACAGGAGTGGCTGCGTGTCACATCGGAGGGACAACGTTACACAACTTTGCTGGTCAGTCAATTATCTGAAGTGTGTTAATATAATCACTGGGACTATCTGGAGCTCAATTTATTTCCCACAGCATCAACAAGATGACACAAATAATTGGTCAATTTACAGGTATCATTTTTTTAAAGCTTGTTCTAAAACTGAAATGGGAAAATTGGTTATAAGCACAAACATAATTATTCTGCTGATCCTTTTCTTGGAGTCAACTGTTAGAGCAGCTCCTTTTCTAATCAGAAAGTCTGAAGATCCTTGACTCCCTAGCCTGAATGTATTAAATTGTCCTTGGGCAAGATGCTGAACCCTGATTTGCTTCTATTGGAGTGTGAGGTTAAGTGCTTTGCCTTAAGCAAACAAAAAAGCACTCAGATTATTGTGCGTGTGGCAAGAAAACACTTTGAATGCTCAAATTGGATAGAAAATGTAGAAAAACGTTATATAGGTACAGACTGCTTAAAATTACAGGTTTTAGTGGATATAACTGATAAATATGGATAATCATTTTAGCTGTCCTTATAATTGGCCCCTTCTTTGTTTCTTTACTCAATTAATTAAAACCACATCCTTGGACTCATTTCAATGTCTGCTTGATGCCCCGTTTCACTTTATGAATCTTTAAATCTTTGAGGCGGGCTCCTCGGATATCTTTTCACTTTTTAACAGACCTTTTTAATTAAATCTTAATATACAGTAGGATGTGACCTGAGTATTTGCAAGGGTGTTAATCATTTTTGTTCTTCCTGGCTATCTGCTTTCTTTCCATTCTCTGAATCGTTGCTCTTTCTAGGTATTGGCTCAGGCTCTGCCCCACTGGAGCAGTGCATCGAGCTGGCTCAGAGGCCCGGGGTGCTCCAGCACTGGACTAGCTGTCGACACCTTATCATTGATGAGATTTCCATGGTGGAGGCTCAGTTCTTTGACAAGCTCGAGGCAGTAGCTAGGTGAGGATGGTGATTCAAAGATGGGCACCTGGACTGAGATCTAAAATGACTTTGTAATGTTAATGTATTCCAAAATGTAAATGTACACACTAGCATAGTCCATAGCAAGTGTTTGGTTTTGTTAGAGCTGAAGTCAAGTAGATCTTTTATTATTTTAAAAATATTATTTTACTTCTTTATTTTGATGGCAGTAACAAGTCAGTTTAAATTAGATCAGCAGTATTGTAAAAATTGCCTTAAAACAATGCACACATGTGGACCAAGAATTAAATACACTAAGGAAATCTCTGAAAAACAAACACAGCATGTCAGCACAAACACATCATAAAAACTGCTGGTGTGCTGATTTAAGCTTGGTTTGGAGCCACAGGACGTGGACACTCTGGTGTCACTGATTCAACCACAAACTCCTCTCTGAATCAAAGTATTCTAGAGTCAAATCTGAAGCCATTTGCCTGACAGACAAATGCTTGGCTAAAACTCTTTGAAATCTTGCAGGTCGGTGAGGAGGTCTACCGAGCCATTTGGAGGGATCCAGCTGATCGTTTGTGGTGACTTTCTTCAGCTGCCTCCAGTTTCTAAGGGAAAAGAAAAAGCCAGCTTCTGTTTTCAGGTCAGATCATAGTGGAGCCTCTTAGAAGTTGAGGTAACGCTTTATAATACAGCTTATAACTAAGGGTCTAACTTCCCCCTGTATTTTATTTTAAATGACAATGTAAAAATATTTACCTACAAATAAAACAAAGACGTAGGCACATTAGAATACGACGGTAACAAGTCAGGAAAAAGCATTATTAATTATGATGCAAGTAAATTTAAGTGTGTGTAAATAATTGGACGTAATGTGCAAGTACTTTTGAAGTGTTGCATAACTTTGGGTGTTTTATAGAAAAGGAAACCCATATTATTCTGTTATTCATTTTAAGTACTGCATAAGTAATTTTAAATGGGGCCTAACTTCCAGGTATTTTAAAGGATAAGAGACAGTCTTTTCCTGTACACTCGTTTTGAAAGTTATGTTTGAACAGTGACTGTGAAAGGAAACATACGCTTGCAAATTTTGATGGTATTTACTTTTTTTTTCTTGTAAGTTGCTAATGGAAAATGGCCCATATTGCATTTAATTTGCTAAAATAAAAGGACATTTCAATAATAGAACATCCGTTATGCACATCCACATATGTGATGTAAAAAGGTAAGACTGATCCACTCCACACTACGCCCGTGTCCTGAAAAGTACAGCATATTTGTGATGCACTATAAGGAAATATTGTTGTTGTTTTTCTGCAAAATTATCATAAAATTGCCATGACTTAAATTTTCTTAGAGTACAGGTTGCTGTAAAAGTCTAACCCCCTTACGCGCTTATTCTAGTATTTGTATGTAAATAAACTTGCATTGTAATTTCAAATAAAATATTCAAAATCCATTTAATTAAGAGTGATTAGGCCCTTAGTTCCAGGTCTATTATTTAAAGTAACAGAAGTTTGGAAAGAAACTGGCTTACTTTGAAGAGCAATTTACTTTTCTGATGCTGAGACTGCACTGAGTTGTTGCATTTTTCAACACGTCTATTCTGTTCACGAGCCAGATTCTGTTCTGCGTATTTCCTCGAGAGCATTAATGCATTTTTGGGGAAGATGAACTTTTCCACTTTCTGACCCTTCAGGCCAGGAGTTGGCGTAAGGTGATCCAGATCAATATGGAGTTAACGGAAGTGCGGAGGCAAACAGACCAGAGCTTCATCTCCCTCCTGCAGGCAGTGAGGGTGGGGAGGTAACCCTGTTTCATTATCACATTTTGTTTTGTTCAACTAATGCAATCTCACCTGAAATTGTATTACATCATGTATACCATGTTGTTTCCACTTATGTACGTGTATATGTTATAAATGTCCTTGAGGCTGTTAAGGTTTTTGAATTGCTCTGATTGGGCAGGAAAATCTTTAAAGGAAGGTTGTGGTTTGTTTGTTTTTTGTCAATTAACACAATTCAGGGTGACGGAGGAAGTCACAGCCAAGCTGATCAAAAGTGCCAACCATCAGATTGAAAGGGACGGTATCCTAGCGACCAGGCTGTGCACACACAAAGATGACGTTGATCTCACCAACGAGAACAAACTCCAGCAATTACCAGGTCTGAATTCTTCTGATTCTGCCCACAAAAAAAAAGAAACACATGTTACTTTGTTTGGCTTGGATCCAATTGAAAATGGACAACACATGGCAACTTTGTTATAATCCATTTCCTCTCAAGAGTGTGGTCTGTCCTGCCTGGCAATTTGAGAAATGTTTTATTTATTTATTTTTCCAAACTGTTTCATTAACTGGCATAGACATTTCTGATCGTCTGAACAAAAAACCATAACTTTGTGAAAAGCTCAAACTCTGACTCTTTTTCCTGCTGTTTCTATACATGCAAGTTGTGTTTACATGTTTGTGCCTCCCCAAAAGCCCAGTTTCACCCGAGATAAACCCCAAACAGGTGCTTTCAGTCTCAACAGGGTGCTGATTTTGTCATTTCCTGTAGTGGTATACCAGTATTTTCATGGACACAACTATTCAGGAAACTTTGGAGTGTATTTGGCCGACAGTATCACCAGATTTTTTTTATGTATATTTAAGGTCTTCCCTTTCATTTCCCCCATCACATTTACTGTCTGTTACCACATTCCTTTAAGAAGTGCCACTAGTTTTCAGTTGAATTAATCTCTCACTGCTCCTTAGGGTCAGCGCGTCTGTTTGAGGCACTAGACAGCGACCCAGTGCTGGTCAAGACTATAGATGCTCACAGTCCTGTCGGCAGGCTGATCCAACTCAAAGTGGGAGCTCAGGTGTGTGTGTGTGTGTGTTCCCAGAGAAACTATTTTATTTTACACAAACCCTTTTTAACACCTGCTTTACTGCTTGCTTGTATTTTTAAGGTCATGCTGACAAAGAACTTGGATGTTGCTCGAGGTCTGGTGAATGGAGCACGAGGTGTCGTGGTTGATTTTGAGTCTGGAAAACATGGTCCGTACCTAATTGTGAAAATATATTTGTTAAAAATCCTACGTAAGCAATGGCAAGAGAGGATTTTATATTAGTTTGACTTTTGTAGGAAACACACTTGTCTACATCCTTGGCATCTTGTCCAATGCTGTTTGTTTCCGCAGGACTCCCACGCGTGCGTTTCCTGTGCGGCGTCACAGAGGTGCTGAAGCCAGAGCGCTGGGTGTTTAAGTCCGGTGGTGGGATCCACCTGAGCCGACAGCAGCTGCCACTCAAATTGGCCTGGGCCATCTCCATCCACAAGAGCCAGGTCAGTAAACATTCGGTGCTCACTTCCCGATGATGACCTTATATTTTCTTTGTAGAGCACGTTGTTTGGTGTTGTCATGGGACACCAGTGTTTTATGTGGGTTTGTCTTTGATAAACTGTTTACATGATTATTTAAAAAGTTCAAATTAAAAATTAGTTCAAAACTGTGAAGCACGGTGGTGCACTGTTGCCTCACACTAACATTTTAATCTACAGCCCTGCTTGGGGTCTTTCTGTGTGTAGTTTGGATGTTTTCCGGGGGTTTGCATGTCATTTGTTGTAAAAGAAAAACAGCAAAAAAAAATGCCATGATTAGGTCTAATTCCAGCATCCCTGTTGAAGCTCAGCTTAGTTCATATTATTCACTTTGCCTCCTGGTTAACATGAGTGAGATGAAGACAGAAGGCAATTTCAGAGGTGCAGATGGTCATTTTTGTATTTTTCTTTTTAAAAAGAAAGTTTGAGTATGTTTATATTTGGATTATCTTGCATGCCAAATTATGTTCAATGGTCCACCGCCTTGCAACAGCTATAAAATGGATTGTATTGAAATTTTGTACAAGGGATTCAAGCAGAGCCTGTTAGTTGCCTTAACCTCTTTGGACATGTTTGCACTTGTTACTGGAAACATATTTCTCTCCTTTTGTAACTATAAAAATATTATTTTAAACTTGATCTAGTCACATGGTTTGCCGATGGTGAACATTATACCTGCTAAACATCTTTTTCCCTCTGTCACCAACTTTGAAAAGCTGCACTTTGTCAGTGTTCAGTGTGATAAACTAAAAATGTGGGATAAAAAATTAGAAAAAGGAATATATGGAATACAATGAATATTTAATTTACTCTATGTTCCACTACATGGAAATATTTTCCATCCAATATCTTTATTGCTTTTATCTTTATTAGTTTGGACCAGTTACAAAAATGGAACAGTAGTGGCTATGCAGTAAAGACTACATAACCTAATCACTACAATTGCTGACTTTATTTTTTATTTTTTTAAATAAATTAAAAAAATTTATTCACATTTGGATCAATTTAAAAATCAGTTAATCACAGATTCCTGTTTGTCACTATGAGCGAAGTAGAGTTCCTCTGTTTAACATGTTCTGAATGTACAGCTTGATTTCAAAGGCTTTTTATTGTCTATAGCTGACATTAGCAAACATATTGTAAAAGTAACAAGTTGTTTTGGCTTGTTGGACACACCACTAATTTTTCTTTTCACATCTTAAAATATACCAGAATAATATCTTTATAAATGTAAGATGTTTTTTCAAATTTTTTTTAAATTTATTTATTTTTAATTATCTCTTCATTTTCTGAGATTTTAACACAAATTTACTTGACTGGCTCTCTGTTAAAGAGTTGGCCAGACCAGGATCTGTCCTCCTCCTCTCTCTTGTTTTCTCCCTTCCTCACTGTTCTAATGCCACCTAGAAAGCACAAAAACAACAATATCACATAGAAAGTCCCTCTGGCCATTTTAAATCTTATAATGATCGTATAACAGGCTGAGAAAATTAAGTGCAACAATTCTATTTGAGGGGAAATTGCTATAGAAGCCCAATCTAACCACAAGCTGTAACTCAACAATTGCCAATCTTCCGCTCTGCTGCACCGACACACTCAATATCCTGACCTCCATCTGAGAATCTATCTAAAGGTAAAAGGGTGATCTCTGGATAATTGGGTTAATTGGTAATGACCAATGAGTGCAAACGGGTGATCTACAGCAGACACGTCAGGGCACAAGGATATAAAAATTAGATTCCATACCAATGTCCTCATAGTGTGACCTGAATAAATTATAATTTCAGGTTGGAGGTGTATACGCTGGTCAGGTGAATCTGAAAGTTGATGCTCCTGGCCTGTCACAAATCTTATACTGTAGACTAAACAATTACCCTTTGTTTGTTTCCCTCCAGCTAACAAAAAGCTGGGATCTTGTAAAATTTAAAAATGCAATGATTTTATTCACAACAAAACAAAAATACACATCAGATGTTTAAATGTCGTGAAAAATATTAGCTCATGCTGAATTTGATGGGGGCGGCAAATGTCTCAAAAAATGGGGGCAACAAAGGCTGGAAAAGTGGTACTAAAAAGAAACAGCCAGATGAACATCAGGTCAGAAACATACAATAATAATAATAATAATAATAATAATAATAATAATAATACTTTTCTCTCTCCAAAAATCCAGCAGCTTGTTTTCTCAGTGTTTAGATGTTTATGGACTGTTGCTAAAAGAAGAGTGGACGCTACACTAGGGCTGTGCGATATGACCAAAATCTCATATCCCGATATAAGAATTCTATCGTCCGATAACGATATAAATCACAAAAATGTAACATTTTCTGTAAATTCTGTGAATCTCGGGCAGCTCGACTTGCGTGAAGTGTTTCCAGCTGCGTGTCATGTAGCTGGAGTCGAGTGTTTTAACCGATGCATTAAACTAGACATTTTTAGACATAAGTTGTAATGGCCGCCGTTTTCTTTGTATTTATTACATGGCGTGCTGCGGGGAAAAGCCTGTTCTAACGTTTGAGTCGTTTCATCAAAATGATGAAAAAATATTACCTTAAACAGTTTATTTTGCAACACCACAAAACAAACAATAGCGTAAAATGAAACGATAGATGTTTTTATATCATCATCCGATATATATCGTTATATGAACAGCCCTATGCTTCACCGTGGCAAACATGGCCCTGTCCCAACTTTGTTTTTTGTTTTAAGAGCTGTCGCTGCCATTAGATTCAAAATGAGCTAATGTTTTCTTTAAGTGGTACATTGTGTTTTTATTTGCATTTTAAGCAGCAACATAACAATTTGCTAATTGGGGTTTGTAGTTGAATCCTAGAATCGAGTAGTCAGCTTTTTGGGTTTTTCAAACACTGGACTTCCATTAGTACATGTTGTTTTTATGTAACAATGATGGTTATCATGTTATGGTTTTATGCTTTTGTTTTGAAGGGAATGACGCTGGACTGTGTGGAAATATCTTTGGCTCGTGTGTTTGAGAGTGGCCAGGCTTACGTGGCCCTGTCTCGGGCTCGGAGCCTCGAGGGTCTAAGGGTCATGGATTTTGACCCCCGCGTGGTCCGGGCAGACCCAGAAGTCCTCCTCTTCTACAGAAAACTGAGGAAGGAAAGGTTGCTCATGCAGGTGAGGGCAAATATTACCTCAGCCTGTAGAAAATGTTTATTCGTATCTCACATTTTCTTTTTTCAGTTTCTCATTTTCATTTATTTATAGTAAAAGTAGCTGCCTGGCATTGGTTTAATGTTAAGCTCTGCAGTTTCACTTCAATGTTAAGTTTATGTTAAGCAGAAAAAAATGAGACCAAATCTCTCAGGTAATATTTTGGAAAGCTCCTTTTTTCCCTAGAGTTGATGAGATGGATCAAACTACACTGGAGTGCTGTGGATGAAAAACTTCATTCACCAGCTGTACTTATGATCTTCTTTGTCCTCATTTTTCTCTGCAGGCCTCCATGGATGATTTTGTTAGCAACAATAAAGAAAACGCATGGTGAGGCTGGCTCTAAATCCACTCTAATGATATGCACTATGTGCATGAGTTATTGAGCTATTTCACCATTTAACCTTATTTTCTTGAGACTTCAATCTCTACTTGGAGTCACACTGCCACCATCTGCTCATCACTATACTTTTTTTCAGAGGTTATTTTTTAAATTATTTTTTTTTTTACATGTATTCAAATAAAATTTTAGCCAAATTATGTGTGAATTTTTTTTTATCAGTCATTAATATTTAAGGGAGGAAAAACAATGACGCTCCTTGGCTTTTAGAGGTCTCGAGGAGAAAATAAAATCTATAGCTGCCTTTAGTCACCGAGTGGCAGCATCCACTCCTTACATTCTCCCACCCGTTTGGGATGATGTAAGGGAATTAACCGTGTCTGTGTTAAAGCTGTGGGGAGAGAAAAAATGCTCTGATCTAATTAACTTTTACCTCAACTGCTTTTCAAAAATTGCAAACCTGGGACAAGTGTTCCAGTGCATGCGCCATTAAATAGAAATGCCGTCAACCAGAGACCAATTTTGTGTCATCGTAAACATCAGTGAGACCATTTAGCGTTGGTGGCTGGATAAAACTAATTAAACCATCAGTCATGGAGCCCTCCTGAGAACGCAGATGCTCTGAAAAGAAGCAGCTCAGACTAAGTAGAATCCAAAGACAACCTTTATTTTCTGGTCAGCAGAGTGAAGTCATGACCAAACCTGAGCCGTTTCCATTACTGTAGCAGCATATTTGCTCTAACATTCCACCTCATCACATTTTCATTACAGCCAATCCCTTCTTTACACAAATTTTTAGAGTGTATGCTCCAATATGTTATTAGTGACTCTTGATGTCGATACTGCTATCAGCTATATTGGTATGCACTGCATACAAACAGGTGTCAGGAACGTAGTCCAAGGGAATTCAGGAGAACAACAACAGGCTTCATTTGTAGATTATTTTACATTATCAGAAATTATATCGGGTCTACTGGACGGGTTGTCATTTCACATTGTGGAACAGCTTGTGTGCGACCTGTAGAGACAGAAAGTGGCACAATGAGCATCTTCACTAGGAGAATAATCTTTCCTTTGTCTAGCGCACACTTACACAATGGTCCCGCGCATGCAGGAAGTCAAAGAGTTCTTCTGTACACTCTTCAACAGTGTTGGACCTTGAACTGACCCGGGTTTCACAGAGCTCCAGACGCTCCTTGTAGTGCACACAGTGTTCAGTCTCCTCACACTTGGCTCTTATCGCTTCTAGAGGGTCCTAAAAAGAAAGGAAGCCATGCTATTCATCAGGAAAATGATGGCAAAAACTCTGGTAGGAAAACCACAACTCTCAAACCATGAAGGTGATTTTATAATGAAGTTAGAGGTTTAATAAGCCAGGCTTCCTGTGTGCTCAAATAAAATGGGGCGTTTTATTCAATTCAATTTTATTTATATAGCGCCAAATCACAACAACAGTTGCTTCAAGGCGCTTCATATTGTAAGGTAGACCTACAATAAATACATACAGAGAAAATCCCAACAATCATATGACCCTGCTATGAGCAAGCACTTTAGCAACAGTGGAAATGAAAAATTCCCTTTTAACAGGAAGAAACCTCAGGCAGGTCAGGGAGAGGCGGCCATCTGCTGCGACCGGTTGAGGTGAGAGAAGGAAGACAGGACAAAAGACATGCTGAGGAAGCATCATATTACTCAAAATGATCCCTATGAGTGTTCCCCTACATCAGAAGCATTATTAAAATCTATAAAAATTCAATGGAAAGCTGTTTATTATTTCTGTAGAAAAATGTTAATCAAGTGATTTACTCTACAGAGCAATAAAAACAAACCTCTTAAGCTAATTATTTTAACACTTGGGTGCTCTCAGTGTTGCCGTTTACCTCTAACATCATGACTGCGCTCAGAAATTTTAAACTGGATCCATTTAAACATTGAAGGTTACTGTCCCACAGCCTAATGTGGAAACTGCATTATTATTTTAGCAGATCAAAGTGAAATTAATTTGATTGATTGAACAGGTATTCTGCTGTGTGTTCTGTGTTCTAGTAGGTGCAATACTAGCAGTACAAAAGAGACTTAATAGCAGATTAAAACAAAATATAAAACATTTATACATGTTTTGCATCACCAAATGAATACACGCACATGAGTCAGTGAAAATACTTCCAACTGATTTTAACTCAAAACTCTGAAGATCACCTCCAGACTAGATTATACGTTTTCAGCGTAAGTTACCAGGTACACAGAGAGCTGATTTCCTAAAATATAAAACTCTGATTTTAAGCTTGAGATCCCTCACTAAGCCGCTAAACTTACCTTGTTGTGCACCACTACGCTCATCTCAACAGCCATAGTTCCATTCCTAGCTCTTCCAGTAAACATGCAAGTCTCCTTGGTCATTACAGTAAAGATTTTAAGACCTATACTATATCTAGTGATGTAAAAATCTGGTATTTTGATACATTTCTTTTCCTTTCAAACACAGAAAACAAACTGATTTCTCCAATATCCATTACTGGCATTTTGTTTTCTTTAATCAACTTATTTATACTGTTCAGATCAGCTGGTTATTGGGTTTGTTGTGCATCAAACAAGTTTTGCAAGCAGGGAAGCTGCAGAGTGCCCTCTGGCGGACAAAATATTCATCAACACTTATACCATAGAAGAAGGGTGTTTCTTTTGTTTGTCTTTTGTAAATATATAATTCGTTATATAGAAATGCTGATACCAATACACAGACACATAGGTAATATCGGCTGATAATACTGGCCCGCCAATAAATCAGTCAGACTTTGTATAGTAACCCATCCACGTATGAGGGTTTTTTCAACCTTTTGTCCTACATAAAAAGCTGTTTGTGACCAGACTACATGTTGTTATAATAAGTATTAATAAATAAACAATTACCACCAACTCTTCCTCCTCTTCTTCTTCCTCCTCCTCCTCCTCAGCAGGGGCATCTTCCTCCTATTCAGAGACATTTATATCAATGTTTTAAAATCCAGTTACAACCCAGCACAGCTTATAGATTTATAGGGCTTTTTTTACGTTTTGTGTACATTTTTATTAATTACGTTAGAGAATGTCCAGATATTGTAATCACCTAATAAAACTGTGCCGTATGAAACGCACTGAATCAGTCACAGTTAAAATAAGCAGTCTCTCAGGGTAACACCGTCAGCTGCCAGCCTCGTTTAATGGCGAGAATTATATTTTAAAAGGAGCTGTCAGTAAACTCGCAGGGTACACCGCTAAACTGAGCAGCAGAGTTGGGTAACTTCGTCAAACACACAGACAGACCAGTCTATAAAGACACAATACGATATTTTTCGGTACCTCATCGTCGGGGTCCCCGTGTGTGAGCATTTTTTTCTCGAAAACCATGGTTATGTCTGACAATTTTACAAAATAAAACTCAGAAAGCTGAAACTCCTCGGTTTCACTACTTCTGTTCGAGGACGCGAGGTCGGTCACACGCCGGAAACTACTAGAAGGATAACCGGATAACGTTTCCTATTGGTTGACTGAAATTATTGATGTCCACGTGAACCAATAACAGATCTCCATTTTATATAAGGCCCTACCCCATTCAAATATTCAATACGTGCGGAACCATTGTTTAACTGTCAGCGCAAAGTCGGACGAAAAAAAAGCTGGGACACGGCAAGATGGCGCTGCTCTGGGACACCAGCCTGCTGTTAAGAAAAGTTAAAGATTTAAGATGTTTGACACCCAGACGACACCGAGTGAAAGAGAAATGGGTAAGTGCTCAACGGGAATAACTGACGTTAATAATACCAGACAGTATTTGCATTTAGCACTCGTGTGGCTGCTAAACACAGTGGAAAAGAAAAAAATGGTAAACTCTGTAACATATTGTATTATTTAAATAGTTTCGTCTGTTACTGTTACTGTCTTGGAGCAACTGTAACCCACATAATTTCCTTAGGGATTAATGAAGTATTCTCACTCTGATATAAGGTAAAGACAGAGGTTGTACAGGTCTAAAGACCGTGAAAGTTAATATTTGCCTTGACCACCTTTATTCTTCAGCACAGCAGGAACTCTCTTATTAGTGAGATTGAGATCCTAATCTTTATTCAAGCTTATTGTCATTTCTTTAAGTAATCTTCAGAAATAGTTATTCGGGCTTCTTGAAGGACATTCAGAGCTCGTCTTTGGATGTTGGCTGCCTTTTGTTTAGTTATCTGTCAAGATGATCCCACACTGTTTCAGTAATGTCGAAATCCGGGCTCTGGGGAGGCCCAATCCATGACTAATAGTGTTTCACTTTGTGTTTTTGTATCCAGGTTTACTTTTATTATCCTGTTGCCAGTCAGACACTTCCTAGATGTGTTGCAAAGTGGATTAAAATTTGACCATACATTTCTGTGTTTATAGTTTCATCCATTTTGACGAAATCCCCAACACCCAACATGACTTTCAGATACTGTTCACATTGTAGATAATTTGGGGGGTTTAGCCCCTTTTTTTTCCCGATTTGTCCAGTTTCTTTGGTCAAATCAGTCCAAAAATGATGTTTTATGTCTATCAAACTGTTTTATCTTTGGCATTTTTACATTCATTTTACATTCAATTAAAGAAATTGGAAGAGATGATGTGTTTTGTGACAGCCTGGTAGTAACAAAGTGCCTAAAGATACAATTTAAAACTGGTTCTTTGTTAAGTTGTTTTTTATGTATAGACACAACCCTAGTTCATCATTTGAGTTAGGAGACTCTTTTTGTTCTGAAATGATTCATAGGTCAGTGTTGAGTGGCTTTACAAAAAGAAAACTTGCCTCTGAAAATGGTCAGGTACATATATTTGTACACAGATGTACATTATAGGTCTACTCTAATTTTACATGTATTAAAGCCAGCTTTCTACTCTCCTGGGCATTTAAATTTTATATTGAAATTGGCAAAAAGAGAGCATGGATAAAAATGAATTAACATTTATATTAAATGTCCTCCTCCTTTGCTCTCTGACAGGCTGCTACACGTCCCAAGTTCCCACCCACCAGATTGGCCGTGCATCACTTTGACGCCACCTATAGCACCCCTCTGGGGCAGCTGTGGCCCTCAGTGCGACTCGCCATGCTGTCAGAGAGAAAATATGGAGCCCTGCTCAATAATTTCTCCTATAACGCTGTTCTGACAGAGCTCAAAGCTCAGGGATGCGTAGATTTCATCAGTGAAAGAGAGAAAGACGGTAGGTGTGCTAGCCTCAGTCACAGTTATGGTTATTGCTTATTACTGATGCAGGAAATGCTGTGCTGTGGCAATCTCTGATGCTCTGAAGAGTTCAGAAAATTTTATGAAGCTAGCGCTGGAGTGTGAATGATTTGATTTAAATTCATTCAATAGACTATTTACTAAAACATTTCACTGGGAAAAGTCAATATCTTAGTAATTAACACTATTAAAAAGTCACTTATATCATCTGGAATATAATTTGCAGTTCCTTCTTACTTGGAGGAAAAATCCAAGGAACCTAGTGATGTTTCCACGAAGAGCTCTGACGTTGATGGTGAGCAGCTATCTCTAAGCCCAAACATCAAGTGTTTAGTGTTTCCGAGAGGCGATGTAACGCGATTCAAGCCTGCAAGGTGAGCAATATTTCCTATCCTGCTGCTAACAACAGCATCTTCTAGCAGCGTGCAGTCCGATCCTCAGTTCTCTTTTCTCCTCTTCAGGCCAGACAAGAACGGCCTGTTGGGTTACTACCTGATGGACGCAGCATCTCTGCTGCCCTGTCTTGCACTGGATGTTCAAGAAGGTCACAGCGTGCTTGACCTCTGTGCTGCTCCAGGAGGCAAGACCCTGGCTTTGCTTCAGACCCAGGCCATCAGTAAGTCAAAGTACTTTTACCCTTTTTCAGTTAGTTTTTTGAATCTCCGATCTTTATCACATATTCTCTATTTGCTGTTCTGCTGTTAACCGTCCACCTGTTTGTGTTTATGTCAAAGGGTTTTTGTGCATAAATGACAGCTCAGTGTCTCGAACACTACGACTGAGGAAGGTCCTCCACAGCTATGTTCCTAAGCATTTTTTGACAAATGAGAACCTGCGCATCACCTCTTTCGATGGCACCAAATGGGGGGAAATTGAAAGCAACACTTTTGACAGAGTAAGCCAGTGCCACATTGTCACAGTCATCCTTTTCACATGTTTTGCTCTTTGTCATTATGTTTTTATTCAAAAACTCTCAGTTTTGTTCAGCCTTTCCTTTTTTTTTTCCCCTCTAAATTCAGGTCCTTGTTGACGTTCCCTGCACCACAGACAGACATTCACTCATGGAGGACGACAACAACATATTCAGTAAGAGTCGGACTGGGGAGAGACGCAGGCTCCCGCAGGTACAGCTGGAGCTGCTGCTGTAAGTTTGGAGGAAATGTGAACAAAATGGGCTTTGAGGCTGTTAAAGTTTGCATGGTTTCATATAAATATGCGCACAATTACGCAAAATAACAGCTTGTAGTGAGAACTTTTATTTAGATGTTATGTAAATCGAACCCTCTGTGTTTCCTGCAGAGCGGGAATCCAGGCCGCTTGTCCTGGTGGGGAGATCCTCTACTCCACCTGCACGCTCTCACAGAACCAGAACCTCAGTGTGGTTGAACAGGCTATCTACCAAGCTCGAGAGAAAGATGGCATCCATCTACAGGTTAGTGAGACACTTTTTTGTATCAATAAGAAACACATCAAAGTTGTGGGAGATATAAAACACACAGAAACTGAAATCAGACCTCGAATAACTGCCCGTTTTTTTTTTTTCTCATATCTCGATCACATTCAGGTTGTGGATCTGAGGCCCCTGATGCGCATGTTCGGGAACACCTTTCACTTCGCTCCGGACCTCCACCTGGGCGAGATGGTCATCCCGCACGTAGCAGCTAACTTTGGACCCATTTACATGTGCAAGCTAAAGAGGCTGACGTAGGACGTGGACTCTTGCACAAGTTCACCTGAGACTTTCAAATACTGAGCAACTCTGCTGCCAGAGTCAGCTGGATTTGCAAACTGCTTCTGGTGGACCCGGGCTTTCATCATAACTGTTTTCTGGAGCTTTTTGAAGCCTTCTAAGCCAACCATGACTCTCAGAGACGTTTCTCCTTTTTCCTCTGTTTTCTCAGTCCTATATGATTACTAAGCCTTAACACTGGGTCACCTTTGCAGGCTACACAGCACATGCAAATAATATCAGTTTTAGATTGTGCAGGTAAAGCATGAGACAAACAGGAAAGAGATTTTTCCTCAGTGCAGATTTGGATCAGTGAATTCACCAGACACGAGGACAGGTGACTCTGAGCGCACAATATCCTAACACTTTTTTTTTGCAGCTTTCTAGAAGGGTCCTTATGCTTTAAAACTAGCTGCACGAGCTGATGAATGACCTCTTTTTAGTTTCAAAGGGACGTGAGGAGCACTTCCTAAAGTCTGGCCTGCATTGACCCATCCCTTCAGTGTCCTCATCATTCATGCTGGTCATCGTGATTGATGCGGAAGCACTAAACTGCTGTTAAACGAATAATTAAACTGAACTTATCGACGATGTGGATGTTTAGGTTTTTATCAGTAAACCATTCAAATTAATGTAACTTAAAGTTACATTATCACTAGAATTCACCCGAGGGCACACTGTGCACC